ACCATTTTAAGATAAATTCAAGTTTTCAATAAATCTTAGTTATGCTGAGTGTCGTAAAATGTTTAGCCGTTAAACTATTTGTCAGATTCTGGTTTGCATTAAATGCAAAAAATCATTCTGCTTTTTGAAGTTAATTTCCATTCTGTTTCTTCTTTTTCAGTAAAGTTGATGTTTCAGTCGTAGGAGTTGATGTCTTCATTAGAAATTCCGACGTTTCTTTAACTTTAAATATTAAATAAATAATTTCATTGTATGTCGAAGATTTGTCAGCCTGTTGCAGTTTATTTTTTACCTTCGAATACAAAGGATTGTCTTGTTAAGATATTTAAGTAGAATGTTGATTTGCTCTATAAACAAGATGATTTTAGAAATATTTGCATGCTCCCTTACGCTGTTATTACAGTTTACGTATCATATTTCCACCTGTTTCGAATTGCTTTATTCCAGATACCCACAGATCGATATTAGTTTGCTTTTTAAAGTTATGGTGAGCTGTTTGATGTAACAAAAGGTTGATTTTGCATTACAGATATGTTAGCCAAAAACTGATTCTAAAATGTGCTAAATTAAAAAATTATTTATTTTCAGGTTTTGGTCTTTGTTCACTCCCGCAAAGAAACGGGTAAAACGGCAAGAGCCATTCGAGACACTTGTCTAGAGCGAGACACCCTAAGTTATTTTCTGAAAGAAGGAAGTGCATCGACAGAGATTTTGCGTCGTCAGGTGGATCAGGTTAAGAACAACGAACTGAAAGACCTGCTTCCTTATGGCTTTGCCATTCATCACGCTGGAATGACCAGGTAAGACGTAAATGAAACTGAATTTGTTGAATATATAATTTCGTAGTTTACTGATGACACACGTCATTGATCGAACGGCTGATTGTACTGAATCTTATTTGCGTCCATAACTAATACCTTGGAAGTTCCTTTAAGATTGCTTACACTGTACTTGATTGTAACTATGTTCTATTATTCAGAATATGGAAATTTTCCCCGGTTTAGCTTAACACGAATTCTTTAAACAAGGGCCACTGAAATTAAGTCATTGTTTCAAAGAAGGCAGATTTTTACTACCTTATCATAAGAGAGTGAGGCATGTAAGGACAACTGCTCTAAGGGCTTTTACTTAATTCGTTTACTCTAAGGTCTTTTATTTTGCTTAGAAGCAATATGTAAAAGAAAAGTTGTTTACAAAACACAGATAGCGTAGTGTTTGCAAACGGTGCAGAATTTTTCTTCTCAGCTCCTTATTGCAGCAGTTCTCTGCACCTATTCGTGATTATAACATTTTCTGCTGTCTGCGTTCACAATTCACATTTCTTTTCTGTTTGAGTTCTTGCTTTCAGTAACGCAGTGATTTTCACAGATTTTTTCAACGGCAGAGTGTATGAAGGATCCTCAAGGTTTGACGAGATCTATATCACTAGCAAACAAGTTTGATGACCAGCTGCCTGAAAAGGCACAAAAACATCAAAAGCGGTTAACTGGCTTGATTTAATGAAACGAAAATTTTTCAAAACTATATTTTGCGGCAGTCGTTCGCTCGACACAGACGGTTGAGCTGACATTATAATGTATTAAACCACGTTAGAGAAACAATTCTTCTTGAAAAGGTAGGTATAATTTTGTCTACAGCTATGAAAGTATTCTGGAGCTCCAAAATATCACATCAGGGCTCAGACATCAACTGTCTTTATGGCTTTGCTGTGCAAGTTTTGTTTAACCTTGGATGACGATATAAACAGTCATGACCTTGTTCATCGTTTCGTTTATATTGCTCAGTCCATGGCACGGTGGCTTAAGTAAATAATGGGCTGATTTTCTGCAGTTTGATAATGTCAGTATTATCAATATGTTATTTTGGGTTAGCATCATTTGCGTTTAGGGTGGACCGAACGTTGGTTGAGGATCTATTCGCTGATCGACACATTCAGGTCTTAGTTTCTACTGCGACTTTGGCTTGGGGAGTGAATCTTCCGGCTCACACAGTGATCATAAAAGGTTTCGTCCTCATATTATTATTTGTTTTTACTCGCTGTTTAAGGAACTCAAATATACAATCCGGAGAAGGGACGATGGGTAGAACTTGGTGCCCTTGACGTCATGCAGATGATGGGCCGAGCTGGTCGACCACAGTATGACACTAAAGGTCGTGGAATTATGATCACAAACCACACCGAATTACAGTACTACTTGTCGTTAATGAATCAACAGGTAATTTACTAATAATCAGTATTGCGATTCAGCAGATGTTTGACAGAAGTTGTGATTTTGGTCTGTAACTGTATTGTGATTTGAAAAATGAGAGTATCATGAAATATTTGCGATTGATTGCTAGAGTGTGTGCAGGCCTATGATATTTTCTTGTAATTGGTTATTGTATCTTCGTAAATTTAAAGAAATTTCGAGATGTCTGATTTTTTCCTTAAAAATTCCAGTTCTAGCCAAGATTAAGGTGCTTAATTGATTTTAATTCCGTGTTTTTTAATGGCCACTTTATTCTGTTACCGTTCTGGGCAAAGACAAAGCCTCTGATATCTTGATATGGAAAAGGTTGCTTGAAGCATGACTTTGAATGGTCAGACCGAGCAGAAGCGGTAGTCCCTGAGTGTCAGGTAGATAGGCTTTTGTCAGCAGTGCCCTAATCCTCTTATCACTGTTGAAACGTACATCCTATAGGAAGAATGTCATTCTCGAACAGCTGGAACATCTCCCCCAAAGCTTATCATGCCTCCAGCAGTGCTAAATAATGTCGAAGAGAGGGAATCATATGCTGTTGACCATGCGAAAGTGACAGTATTTCACTACCGCATCGCCTGATCCCCACCACTGCTAATGCAGTTTTACCCACATTTTTTTCTATCCCTTTAAGTTTCCATAAGCCTTTCCTATGTATTCCTGGCTTGACCATAATGATCAGTGCATTTTAAATGTTTCACAGCGTTTGTTAAGATGTAACTTTATTTCTGTGCATTAAGATTGTCACAGCAGGAATTGTCAGATCAGCTAACCATTAACACCAGTAAGATCCATGTAAATCCTTGAATAGGGAACGCCTAGTTGATAGCCGTCAGCTAACGATGGATATAAACCATTTAGCTAAGTTTTATTCTGATATCTTCCACTCACTTTTCAGTCGAAGTATGAATATTGCACAGGACGAAGTTAAGCAATACGCTGGAGCATATACATGATTTTGTTTCACGTCATTTAGTTGTATGTTTCCATATAGGTTCTTATGCTGCAAGAACCAGTCAATCAGCTGTCATCATGTTCTCGGCGTTTAACGTATTACAAAATATATTGCTTTTTAAATATAACATAATGCTCTTGTAAATCTTCGAGCACAAATGATTTGGTTCTTAACTCGGAAAGTTAATTTAAGTTCACGTACTGTGTGAATTAACTAGCTGCTTCAAAGTTGTTAAAACAGTGTCTATGTTTTTTTGTTGAATGGTAGTGTTGCATTTTTTACATGTAATTTAGCTGCCGATTGAAAGTCAACTGATCAGCAAGTTGCCGGATTGTCTTAATGCTGAGATTGTGCTTGGAACGATGAATAACGTCCGGGAGGCAGTTGATTGGCTCGCCTACACCTACCTCTATGTACGCATGCTGAGAGCTCCAACACTCTACGGTGTTTCGTATGAACAGGTATCAAAATTGGATCTGCCTTGATTTTACTGTTGGACCCAACGCAGCTTTGTTGTTTTACAGGTTACTTTGTGTATTGTTATGTAAGATAGCAACGTTTTTTTTAGTTAAAGACGGACCCCCTGCTTGAACAGAGACGAGCAGATTTGATTCACACTGCTGCATGCATGTTGGACAAGGCAAATCTGGTCAAGTATGACAAGAAAACTGGCACTTTCCAAGTGACGGAGTTGGGTCGAATAGCGAGCCACTATTACATAACCTATGATTCGATCCAAACTTATAACCAACTTCTGAAACCCACTCTTTCGGAAATCGAACTTTTTCGTGTATTTTCTTTGTCGTCCGAGTTCAAGAATTTGTCTGTTCGAGAAGAGGAAAAGTTGGAATTGCAGAAGTTGGCTGAACGTGTTCCAATTCCTATTAAAGAAAGCATCGAAGAACCCAGTGCTAAAGTACTACCTTCCTACTATATGTATTTACATGATGTGTTGATGAATATTTTCAGACGAACGTACTGCTCCAATCATACATCTCACAATTGCGACTCGATGGTTTCGCTTTACAGTCAGATATGACTTATATATCTCAATCAGCCGGACGTCTGTTCCGCGCTATTTTCGAGATCGTTCTTTATCGTGGTTGGGCACAACTAGTACAAAAATCGCTTGCGTTGTGCAGTATGGTTAATCGAAGAATGTAGGTATCAACAAACGGTTTTGAAACTGAATTCCTATGTTTACTGCATTTCTAGGTGGCAATCCATGTGCCCATTGCGGCAGTTTAGGAAGATTCCTGAAGAACTGATCAAAAAGATTGAGAAAAAGAATTTTTCCTTTGAACGTTTGTATGATTTGGGACCGAATGAATTAGGTGAACTAATTCGTTTACCGAAGATGGGCAAGCCATTACATAAATACGTTCATCAGGTACACTAGCTTCGCTCCGATTCACTTATTTTTAAGGTGGCATTTCTTGCTTTCAGTTTCCGAAGTTAGAACTGACCACTCACATTCAGTCCATCACCAGGTCGACTTTACGTGTGGAATTAACCATCACCCCTGATTTTCACTGGGAAGAGAAAATACATGGCCACTCAGAGGGATTCTGGATTTTTGTAGAGGACGTCGACAGCGAAGTGATTCTTCATCACGAGTACTTCCTCCTAAAACAGTATACTTTTTGATCGTTTTGAAATCATTTTCGTTGATCTTGCTTTTCAGAAAATTTGCTGAAGACGAACATATTCTAAAATTTTTTGTGCCCGTTTTTGAACCCCTTCCGCCGATGTATTTCATAAGAATCGTTTCAGACAAGTGGCTAGGTAATGTTTTCAAAATGTTTTTTTAAAAACTAATTTTCATGCGGCGTGAAATCGCTGTTTTAACAAAAGTTCGAGTAGCCGGTTGAATAACGTACAGCTTAGCCAATCACGTGCGGTTCCAGTTTCGACCTCCTAATGGTCAAGAAGTGATAGATCTATGTGAAAAGTAGCAATTTTTCTCACACAGTCAATTCAATCGAAATGGACATTGGTCCACTTTTAGAAATCTGTTAGTAATAGGCCTTTCATTTGAGCTTACGAGATTTGCATGTGGGAATCGTTTTACAGCATTGATAAGAAGATCAGTATGTAACATGGTTGAATAAGATATGGGCAGGTCAGCGTTTACGGAGAATTTGTTCCTTTTATGTTGTTATAGAGTTACGATATGGCAAGCGACAGCTTAGACTAGCTGAAGGTGCAGTGCATGTCATAGGCATGAAATTCTGCTAATCCCAACTGCTCAAGATGATTCCATTTCGGAACGGTTCTAGAAGTTCATAAACTGCCGACATAGAGAAGGAATTTAGGATGTTGGGGATTGAGGATTTCACTTGCTTCATCCCTTCCGTTCAGTTTTCCAGTACCTAACTTCTTGTATAACAGCTGACTATCAATTAATGATGATGTTTTCTTTGTATCGAATTGCCAATGCAATGTTGTTAAGCGTCTACATCTTATCCTGCAGGATGATTCCTCGTCTTATCCTTAAGTTGGTTATAATTTCAATGTTCCCAAGCGGACTGCTGCACCCAGACTGTTAGATGCGAGGTAAAGCATTGGAATTTTTGCACAGCTGCATAGTCTAAGGGACATTGAATATCTAGCCTGGTGCATCGTTATCTGAAATAATCTTTGCTTACTCTGCGTAAAGAAAATACGATATTCTGGATCGTACTCATAGTCGGCTGACTGTTAGTGATAAATGGAACTATTTGGATTAACGGTTGTCGTTTTAGCCTGCTTCGACAAATTCTTTGTCATTTAATTTTTCCTTATGCCTTTTTTTACCCCAAGCGTTGATGTTTAGTTATTTAAGCGATCTACCACTTGCAGATCACTGACCCTGTGCTTATATGCTTCCTGAGACTTGAATGTTTATTATTTTCAATTTTCCGCCAATCGGTATTATATTCTCCGTATTACCATTAACTATATGTACTGAATGAAAAGATGTTTAGAATAAAAGTGCTAAAAGGATTTTTAGGTTCTGAAACAGTTTTACCGGTATCTTTCCGCCATCTGATTTTACCCGAGAAATATCCACCTCCAACTGAATTGCTGGACTTGCAGCCACTGCCGATTTCAGCTCTCAGTAATCCCCAGAACGAAGCTCTGTACAACGAAGATATAAAGGTTTTTAATCCTATTCAAACACAGGGTACAAATTTTTTTGCTGAAAATTTTAAATTATGAAAATTAATAAGAAATTTAGTTTTTCGAATTCTTTATGAAAGTGATGACAGTATTTTCATCGGCGCCCCGCATGGAAGTGGTAAGACACTCTGTGCTGAATTAGCAATGCTCAGGCTGTTTAATAACAATCCGAATGGGCGATGTGTCTATGTCGCGGCCGTTGAAAGTCTTGCACGTCTGGTAACTATTACAGCGAGACTTTTATTTTATGCCGTGCCACTCAATGCATTATAGGTATACGAGCGATGGCAAAATAAATTCGCACAACTCTTAAAGAAAACCGTTGTCCATTTGGTAGGGGATACAGCTAGCGATCTGAAGCTGATCGCCAAGGGACAGCTGATCATCACCACACCTGAAAAGTGGGACGTATTGTCTCGACGTTGGAAACAGCGCAAGAATGTGCAGAACATCAACCTGTTCATTGCTGATGACCTACAGTTCATTGGCGGCGAGGACGGGGTAAAGATATAATTCGATGCATCTGCTTGACGCATATATTCTGTCTTGCAGCCGATTTATGAAGTGATCTGCTCGCGTATGCGGTTCATGAGTAACCAGTTGGAGCGACCAATTCGCGTCGTTGGCCTAAGCACGTCGTTGAGTAACTCTAAGGATGTCGCCCAGTGGCTTGGCTGTGGCTCGCAGTCGACTTTCAGTTTCCATCCGAACGTTCGACCCGTGCCATTGGAGCTACACATTCAGGTATAGCAGTGGCGACTTTGCGGCTGCACCCAAACTTTACTTTGTAAATGGTATCTGTCTTCATACTTGCTTTTCTTTGCCATGCAATTAATTTTTTTCGAATTTCGAACTACATATCTGGTTTACTTAATGATTCGCTTTGTTTTTTTGTTGCTGTTTTATTAGGATTTCTTTAAATATTGTTAATATTTTTAAATCAGCCTCTAATCTGCCCTTAATAATATTCAGTAATCGATATTTGCTTCTATGATGAGTTATTGATATGCACTTTTTCAGGGATTTAACTTCAGTCATGCCCCATCTCGCCTCGATGCGATGGCAAAGCCAGTTTATCTATCACTTTTGAAGCACGGAGGAGTTTTGCGTCCTAAGCCGGCTTTGATATTTGTTCCTACGCGCAAGCAAGCGAGGATTACTGCTGTTGATATGCTGACGTTTGCTGCCGCTGACAATCAGCCAACTCGTTTCCTGCACGTCAAAAAGGAGGATATCGAGCCGTGTGTCGAAAAGCTAACTGATAAGACTCTTAAGGTGGTGTAAATTTAATTTGCAGTACTTCGACTGATTTAATATTCTTTTTCTTTTATTTGTTTCTTTCAGGAAACTTTGAGTTGTGGCGTCGGCTACCTTCATGAAGGAGTTAACGACGTTGATCGACGAGTCGTCGAACAGCTGTTCAAAATCGGTGCGATTCAAGTCATTGTCTGCAGTCGGACGTTATGCTACCGACTGGATGTTCAGGCGTACTTGGTGGTGGTGATGGATACACAAGTTTACAATGGCAAAATCCACGCTTATGAAGATTATCCAATATACGACGTGCTGCAGATGGTTGGAAAGGCGAATCGACCGAATCTTGATGAAGACGGTAAGTTCTCATTTATCTATAATTATTTACGCGTATTTGTTTTTTTAGCAAAATGCGTGCTTCTATGCCAAAACACAAAAAAAGATTTTTTCAAGAAGTTTCTCTATGAACCTCTGCCTGTCGAGGTCAGCTAGCATCTTTTGACTTTAGTTTGTTTTCTAATCATTTCTAAGGGTTTAATTGTAGTCACATCTGGACCATTGCTTGCATGATCACTTCAATGCCGAGATAGTCACAAAAACGATTGAAAACAAGCAGGAAGCGATCGATTACTTGACTTGGACATTTTTGTACCGAAGAATGACGCAGAATCCAAATTACTATAATTTGCAGGGTGTTTCCCATCGTCATCTATCGGACCATCTCTCAGAACTGGTGGAAAACACCATGTCGGATTTGGAACAGGCGAAAGTACTAATTCTTGTTAATGTTCGGCAAGGTGAAAATGTTGCATTGTGTGATTTAGTGTATAACGGTCATCGACGACATGGATTGCCAGCCGTTGAACTTAGGCATGATAGCTGCCTATTACTACATAAATTATACTACCGTGGAGCTGTTCAGCATGTCGCTCAGTTCGAAAACGAAGGTTCGCGGTTTGATTGAAATCATCTCCAGTGCGTCAGAATATGAGAGCATTCCGGTTCGTCACAGGGAAGATAATATTCTTAAGCAGGTGTGCTTTGATTCATCTTTGTTTTTGATTATGCTTAAAGTATATTTTCTTTGCAGCTTGCTGCCAAGGTTCCCAACAAGCCACAATCGAACAGGTTTACCGATCCTCATGTGAAAACCAATCTTTTGCTGCAGGCTCACCTTAGCAGAATGCAGTTGCCTGCTGAGCTGCAAGCTGATACGGAAGTCATTCTGAAGAAGGTAGCTAATTTTGTTCTGCCTTAGTCATTAACTGATGGCTATTTTATATTTCTTGAACTAGAACTGTGATGTGTTCAGATAAGGAAAATCTGATCTTCTGAGGGATGACTGCACGATGTACTACCTTTAAGAAAGTTATTAGATTGAGCTTATGGAAATCGTACTTTCCAATTATCGAAGGTTCTTTCTCCATTTCATATCATCGTTTGAGCATCATATCATGAGATCTTCCGTCCTCCCATCTTGCCGTTTTGTAATCTTTCCTTGTTCAAAAGATAGTTTAGCGAAAAAGTTAAAAAATTTTTAATATGCTTTTTTGGTATTTATACATATGGTAGTTCCCAGATTTTCCGTGTTACGCGATGTCATCCCACAACGTATCTTTCCACTGATTAAAAAAATGTGTAGAAACAAGAATGAAGCAGAAATGCAGAAGAGACAGAGAAATGAAGCCAAAGGACTCTTGAACTTGCGCAGCGTGGCAGAGTGGTTCAACTACATCTCTGAAAATTTACTCTTGCAATACATGATTACGAATTTGCGTTAACGTTCGTTCATATACATGATGCAAGAAATCTTCAACCTGCTGCTTAACAGCGTACTGTCAGTATTTGTAGTACAGAAAGGTTCAAGTAATATAAAAATTTATAAACTTAAAAATTTCAGAAGGATTAAATGGTGCTGTCTGTTGGTTAGGCACCTCGCTTTGATGTTGCTTTGTTGACAACTTTGCATAACGTTTCTGTACATTGTTTTTAACACTACTTTTAGGCACTTCGCTTGATTCAAGCTTGTGTAGATGTTCTCAGCAGCAATGGTTGGCTTTCTCCAGCGCTCGCTGCCATGGAATTAGCACAGATGGTCACACAGGCAATGTGGAACAAAGATTCGTATCTAAAACAGTTGCCACATTTCACCAGCGACCTAATCCGACGTTGTTCCGAAAAAGTAACTAACGAAAAGCATTGGTTTCTGACTGACTTAAAAGCGATACAATGTGCTAGGATATTGAAACGATATTTGACATAATGGAAATGGAAGATGAAGATCGAAATAAGCTTTTAACCCTGAACGAGATAGAAATGGCAGATGTAGCCAGGTTTTGCAATCGCTATCCAAACATTGAATTAACATACGAAATCGAAAATAAGGAAATTAGAAGGTAACTGTTTCAGGCAATGTCTCAGTGACTTTTAACGAAATTTTTCAGTGGCGAACTGGTAAATCTGAAGTGCAAGTTAGATAGAGAAGAAGAGACTGTCGGTCCTGTTATCGCCCCTTTTTTCCCAGAAGTAAGCTCACTAGTTTTTTTCGTGATCATTCTAAATGTCTGTGTTTAGAAAACAGAGGAGGGTTGGTGGCTTGTGATAGGACAGCCAAAGCAGAACGCGCTGATATCTATCAAACGGTTCACATTACAGGAAAAGGCGACTCTGAAGCTAGACTTTATTTCTACAAGTCCAGGCAGTCACCAGTACGTGCTCTACTTCATGTCGGACTGTTATATGGGTTGTGACCAAGAGTACAAGTTTACCATCAATGTTCTACCTGAAAAAGATGCAGAAAAAGAGTCGAGTAGCAGTCGAAAGAGGCGTCGTGACGACAACTGATGTTGAATTACTTTTTATAATATCATTCCTTGTCATCGCTGTTCATAATATATGTTCCTTTCTGTTGTATATTTTGTACTATAAAGGAATGAAATTCTTACAGTGCTGTACATTATAATCAGTTATCATTTATTATTACACTCTTAACCTTGATCGTAGCGCTGCAAAACTAATTTAGATATCGTACTCTTCAGAAATTCACATTGTGTGAAGAAGAAGGAAAACGAATGAGTGAAGGATTTTTCTTACATTTCTTCTGTCTCAGAGAAAAACTTTGAGGCGTCACGGGCCAGCAAGGAACTTTTCGCATGACCAGTTGCTTGATCCGTGTCTGAATAAGTAACTGCGAGTGTATTCCTCTCCCCCTCTCCGCTGCCTCTCACTTCCGTAGCGAAGAGCTGCGGCTTAGAGCAAGCCATGTGTTACCACTGCTTTTATGCTAAGCTCAGCAACAAGATGGGTTAGTTCAGAGGTTATAACTAGGGAGACTGGGAGTTAAAATGTTCCACAGAACTCTGCTGTACTTGTAGTTCTTTACCTTTAGGTAACCTTACTGATATGTAGCGTAGATATCAAACTAAAGCAGAACATGTAGTAACGTATACTCTACGATATAACGGCAAATCATAAACAGACATTTCTGATTCAACAAGGCGCGAAAGGAACCTTTGGCTAAAAGTGCGTACAAAACCGTCAGTTTATCGTTCATCAGGTAGATGAACCTCCAAATCCATAAGAATAAATAGGTCTATTAAATAATTTAAAACTAGAGTATGTGGATTTTGGCTAGCATCGTAGGGTAGTTTTCACCTTTCTGCACCTGAACTGTCAGTTTAATTTTACCGTCCATTGTTAAACCATTTTATGCATTTAAAAACAAACAGAATTCAAAAAAAAATTCTGGATTCTTGCAAAAAGGGCAAGTGTGAAAATTAAGTAACAGTATGCAATGCAAACATTTGAAACCGGGTTAGTACACTGCAGCCAGTATACAACAAGAACCAGTCTGCTTCTGAGGTTAAGATCTGCAGGAGCAACTCCGCAGCAGGACGAATCGGTAGTAATGGTCAAGATTTAAGACTTTCACGACAACCATTGTCATACTAAACTGACTGAATTAATAATGATTAAGTGCCAGTGTCTGATGAGAATTCTATACAAAAGGTATGATTCATTGGCTACGTCTACAAAGAAGATTTAGGAACAAAAAAGTCTAAGTCAATGTTTTGGACAAAGCATAATGCTGCATAACAAATCATACCTTCTGCGTCCTACAACGGCACATTTCTGCTTCCCCTCGAAGTTCTTCCTTGGTTTTATGCCTGCAGCCATTGAATATGAAGATCCAGTAAGCTATACGGGATGCCTCAAAAATGTCATCTCGCGCAGTAATTGGTAGTGAGGATATACCTATTGTTTATTTGGGATTGGTCATAAATGGCCAGTTAACCTGGAGTGACTAACTAGTAAGGATTACAGGAAAGCATCATATGCATTCGACATTTTGGCGCTTCGAATGAAGTTCTTTGACGGTTTGTGCAAAACTGCAGCATCCACATGATGATTACCTACATCGTTTCCGCCTCTCGGTCGATGTAAGAGATTTCACCGTTTTATGCCATTGCATTCAATCAACAGGGCTTGTAGAGTGGACTCCGTTTCCAGGATAGTTCTTAACTGCTTATTGGAGCCGTAATTTCGAGCAAATACGCTTCAGCAACAAGGTCTTGAATAATATTCACTGTACAAAGTTATGGTTAAGAGACGCTCTCTACATGGTGGGAATAGTTCGAAATCCATCTGCATACTGACGAGAACAAAAATTTTACAGATCTGCTACTCCTCACCTGCCACTTCCTTAACTGATACCACTGTTTGAGGAAGCCTTGGACAAAACCTTCATGTTTAAAATCGTACTTAATGAGAAAGTCTATTTTTACCGACGCATTCATCGGCATTCCAAATACACTGCTGCTGATAATGATGTTGAAAAACAGTTCCCCCCATAGCTGTTATAGCGTAGTAAACTCTAATTTCAAATAAAAAGCGACATCGCAATCGGGGTTATACGTTGTGCTGATTATCAGACTGGATAATCAACTATTAGTTGGGTCAAGGAGAAGTGAAGCCAGACAGGGTACTAATATTGAACAGCATGACCGTACACCTAGATCATTCTAGCGTTACCGGACCTGCTTACTTGGCTCTACCCATTTCTCGGCTGGTTGTGCTGAAACAGCACAGGATTAATGCACTACTCAAGAGATTTCGCTGTTAACACAAAGGTAGTCTATTCAACGAGCCCCTCTAAAACCAGGTGGCAAGAAATTCCTGCTAGGCTTCATATTATCTTAAATTACTTTCATTTCAACGCATTTCATCGAATCGAGCCAAGCTTGGACCTTTAGTTCTTCCACAATTTTTCACAAAGCGGTATATGAACTTTTACTCTATCCAATTTCAGTTAAGTTGCGCTTTTAAATAACCTTAAAAACTTCCAACTCAGGTTTTTTATGTTCTGGCCCAATTGGTAAATACAATACGTTTATGTGCTTGAAAATTTTACTGCATATCGATAAAATGTATCCGAAAACAACAAATGACCGTTCATTGAGGTTTTATCTAGAAAGGTACTAGAAACATGAAACAACAACCTGCTGCAATTAAGTTTTACTTCTTTACACTATGATTTCATAATAATGTTATTTTAGCGGCAACAAAATGCAGAGTGTACTATTTGCTTTTGATACAAAGATTTCATTGAACGATGTTAGCTGGTACTTTAGTTTTGTAATGAAGTTACATAGTTGCAGCGTCCTCTACGAAGGCGCTTTGTTTAGACTTGTGAAACTGGTCTTTCCTAGAAGTCTGGTAAAGTTAGAGTAGTGGGAAAATACCACGTAAACAACCAAGTTTCTGTTTCTGTCAGCAGATGACGTTTCTGAACGTTTGTTATAGCGACCATGTAAACAACGACTGCTGCATCGCATCGATTCATAAATTCAATGAATTCGCCAATGAGGTTCGTTTTATACGGCTAACTTTCACTGTTCATTGATTAGCAGCCGTTCTTGAGCGCAGTTGCTCGTCGATTAGTTGAGAAGCCGAAGTGGCACAGGCCTTCAGATGTCAATTACAAATCAGTGGCTAGTCTCGCTTACTGACAGGCACTACTGACAGGCAGTGTTGCCACTGTTGCAATTACACCGAGGTCGACTGGCGGGAAATTCAGCAGGAAGCTAATCGCGTGACAATC